CCTGTCCGTGCCTCTCGGCTGGGAGGAAGTGGCAGCCGCCAAAGTCTGTCGGATTGTCTGAAGTCGAACGCTGGGCGGCGGAGGGGGGGGGAGGGGCGGCCCGTTTGCGGGTCTTCCGCTTGGCAGACGGTGAGTTTCGGCGGGGCGGCGAAACGGGAGGAGATTGGGTGGGACGGGCCTGCACTGCAGCGAAGGGGCGGGGGTGGGTGGGCTTCCCAACAATTCGGTGCATTCCCATTCTATAGGATGCAGAGCCCATCCTTCCCAGCTGGAGGTGATGGGGTTTGTAGTCCAGCTCTCCCCTCCCTCCCCAATCCTGACAGGGCGCCGGTTAAGGTGGGCGTATTGAAAGGAGTGAAGCTCGCCCCACCCCAAAGCAAGAAAGTCCCACCCTAGTGTAACAGTAACAGAGTTTGGAAAGAGGCCTTGGAGGTAATCCAGTCTAACCCCCTGCTCACGCAGGAGACGTATACTAGGGATTCGAACCGCCGATCTTTCTGATAGACAAGCTCAGCGCCCCTTCTCCAAATGCCTTGCTGGGAGTGACAATCCCCCCCCCCCCAATTTGTGCTACTGTTACAGCAGTAGACCAGGTTAAGAAACCAGTCTCGTGGAATTCAGGACTGCTGTTATTGTAACAGCTACATTAGGACAGAACGCCACTGAAGAATGGAATAGAATAGGGATAGGGAATAGAATGGCAATATAAATACGAATAGAATAGAAATAACATAGCAATAGAACAGCATAACAATAGCAATAGAACAGGAATAGAATAGCAATAGTCAAGGTGGCACAGTGGTTAGAGTGCAGTACTGCAGGCTACTTCAGCTGACTGCTAGCTGCAGCTCTGCAGTTCGACTGCCACCAGGCTCAGCCGTCCATCCTTCCGAGGTGGGTAAAATGAGGACACAGATTGTTGGGGTCAATAGGCTGACTCTGTAAACTGCTTAGAGAGGGCTGTGAAAGCACTATGAAGTGGTATATAAGTAAGTGCTCTTGCTAATAGAATAGGAATAGACTGGGAAAGATTGAGCGCAAAAGAAGAAGGGGACGACAGAGAATGAGGTGGCTGGATGACGCCACCGAAGCAGAAGGCGTGAGCTTAAATGGGCTCCAGAGGATGGTAGAGGACAGGAAGGCCTGGAGGAATGTCATCCATGGGGTCGTAATGGGTCGGACACGACTTCGCAATTAACAACAACAATGACTCCTAGATCCCTCTCAGTTACT